TAATTTTAATTATGATTGATCTTCTAATAATGGCTTTGCTCCTTCTGTGGTTATATTCTTGCAGAAAAGTACCCTAAGGAATTGCCTGGTGCCTCACTCCTCGGTGAGCCTGACTCCAGCCTGTTGTCCCTGCTTGTGCCTACCTGGGTGCTTAGGCCATGAAGGTTCTGAGCATGAGGCAAACAAGGAAACGCTGAGTGTAGTGGTGGGTGGCTAGTGTTAAGCGTCAGTCTTGGTTTTAGGTGTTATTAATTTTATCTTGCCTTATTTCTTTTTTTTTATTTAGACATTTTCAGGGATTCATATTCATTATTTTTCAGAATATTGGCAGGACCCCTAACTTCTATTTTGCCTGATTTTTCTAGATTTGCATTTTGCCTTCTTAAATCCAGTGTAACAATCAATCTGTTTCACTCTTACTCTCATCCACCTAAATTTTCCTCTCCCAAAACTCTCCCTGTTAGTCCATTTTTATGTAACTAAACTCTAGTTCCCTGATCCTCCCTTCACCTGCCTTTATAGCAAAGCCAGACCATGACAGGGGTAGCGTCCTCAAAAGTGACACAGTAGGAGTCATGCATGTAGCAGAGAGAAGTATGTGGTTATTAAAATTAAACCCTGGAAGAGCGGTCTTCAGCAGCTTCAAATATTTTTTGAAATAGAGGGGGCCCTCAAGATTGGTTGAGAGAATGAGGTGGGCAGACTGGATCACAGCTTTCACTCTCTTCTTGGCCATGTCACAATTAGCTGGGAAAATAGATAAAAGGGCATTGGTAACCCAATCAAAATGGAGACCAAACTCAGAAGGGACCCCCTCTCTTCCCCTTCATAAAGCTGTCCTCTCTCTTCACTCACTGGCCTCAACTTTCACCCACTCCATTCATAACAGCTTCTGCTATGTTTATGAACTATCTGCTCCAGTGGCTATATCACAGTCTTCTCTGCACTACATCTCCTGCAGGACATTGTGGCATGCCCTTTGCTCCATGGTGCAGTGCTCCTTTGTTATATGGCTTTGTCTGAGTATTTTTCATTATTAAAGCTCCTCTAGACTCTCAATGCCCTCCATGCTCCCTCCACACATAATCTTCCCATGCCAATGGCTTCAACTTCCACCTGAATAACCAAGATTCATTCATTTGTATTCAAGCTCAGACGTTTCTCTTAGGGGTTTCAGAGCAGTTTATATAACCACCTACTTGGTATTTCATCTAAATCTTTCAAAGGCATCTCAATATGTCCCCAGATTCAACTAATACATTTTCCCTGCTGCCACCAACATCATGCCCACCTGAGCTCCTCTCCCATCTGAGTAAACAGTTGTCCTTCCATTTTTCCATTCACCCAACTGTCCTTCTATCCATCCACTAATCCATCCTCCTGCAAACCAGGAACATAGGAGTCACCCCTGACTCTTGACTTCCGTACCCTACATGCTATCCATGCAGTTTGACCAATTATGTCTCTTGAATCCATCTACGTCTCCTCTTTCTAGTCCACATTACCATTGCTTTCCACCTGGGTTACTGAATCTCAATAGTGTCCACTTCCATTTAATTATTTTACATTATAGTTAGGTTAAGTTTTCCAAAGGCAAATTTAATTAACCTCACCCTCTCTCCTAAAAAAATCCTTTAATGAGGTTTTCCACATTCTTATCATAATACTAACATCCCTAATCTCCCCTGGAAGGCCCTGCAGGTCTGATATCCGCTTTCCTTGCTTTCTGGCCACTTGTCCACTCTCACCCCTCCCAGCTCCAGCCACCATCTGACCTTCCTTCCGGTCCTCAAACACAACAGTTCCCTCACTCGAAGGGTTTGGTCTGCTCTCAGTGGAAGTGGTAGAAGCCTTCTCGCATCTCCTGAACAAGTCTACCTCCCACTATGGGACTTCACAATACCATGTACCTCTCTTTGTGGCCCTTGATTTCACTTATTTGTATAATCACATAGTTCATTTGTAAAATCATTTAATTTTCTCCTACCACCTGTAGGAATGGCAGTTTCCTGAGGGTGGAGGGCGGGGGGCTGTGTCTGTTGGGGCTCACTGCAGTCACCCAGCATATTCACACTTCCCACCTCCCACCTCTCCCTTCAGTCTAGCTCACTCGGCTCCAGTGACATGATGGCTCCTTGTTGGCCCCAACACCAAGTTGAGGTGAACCACCCCTTTGGGGTCTCTGCCTGGACCGGCTCCCTTCCTCACCTGCATCACATACTGCCTGTATCTTCTCCTCTCAGGGACTGCATTGACCACAAGGCTGTATTTTTGTTACATGTCTCACTTTCTAATATACACATTATATAGGTTACTTAGGGGTTGTTTTTCTGTCTGCCCCATCGGCATGTTGAGTGCTATGTGGGTGAAGAATTCTGTTTTGTTTCCTGCTCTCTCTTTGACACCTAGGACAGTGCCTGGCATGTAACAAGCACTCAATAAATATCTGCTGAAAGAATTCCTTTGGCTTGGCATGGAGTCTGGCACATGTCAGATCAATATGTCTTTATTGACTGGACCACAGGAAGTAGGAGGGAGCCTTGGTAGGGCCTGTAGGTTCTGGCTATGACCTCTAATTCCTGCCCCCAGAAAAGAGGACCCCTGGATGTGAGGGGCTGCCATTAGCTGGGAGATTTGCTATATGTCTTAAGCTCCGACTTAATTATAATGAAGGGAGTATCAGGAGGGCTATGCTTATGTGTGTGGTATACTAATGGTGGACTGGGTATTAGTCTGTATTTGGAAAGGGCTAGCTCAGCACATTTATTGTGTAAATAAGCAAAAGTTTAACTTACTTAAGAGCAAAAGCCAATAAACACTTTTAAAGCATCATTAAAAGCATTTTAGATTCAAACACGTTTGCAAAAACAATGAATGTGATCATTACTAGTACTTCTTATATTCTCAGAAAAGCACTAATGAGAATCTCTAAGATGTGTTGACGGAATCCTCCCATTGCTCATCCTAGTGAGTGGTATTATTCCCAAGGCCTAGGTGCTCTGCAGCAGGCTCCCCAGTTAATGAAATCGTCTTCCCACAATTACATACTTTTGTGTGTGTGCCTGTGTGGGAGGTGGTAATAGTGCTCTTCTCTTTGAGCAGCCAATACGGTATACAGATAAACATGACTGAGATACATACTTTGACTCTTTTTATTCCTCAAATCCTTCCACAACCTTACCAATTCTGAAGATGATTTCACACTGCCATAAGTAAAGACACACAGACAGTCTCAGATAAATGATGGTTCTCAGAGTGCCCTTGGCACTGCAGTGGCCTCATCAGATGGAACTGGGTAGCTCACACCTGACTGGGACACCCCCTTAGTGAATAACTCAGCCTGCGAGGTCAGCATGTAGAGTGGGCAAGGGCTGGTGCCCGGCAGTTCTGGTATTTAAGCCAACAGTAGTGGTATTTTGTTGGCCAAATGCGGTAGTGAACTCACCCTAGTTAGCTGGGATGGGTTAACAGTAGTATCTAAGCATTTGGATCCCCTATTTTGAAAGTATGCATAGTGGCTTGGCAGGTGGTCTAAGGGGTATCTCAGGACATGCCAGCACAGAGCCTTACCTGGAATCATACTCATGACCACAGACAGCTCTAAAGGGACTTTAGAAAACAGACACTAGAAAAGAAGATCACCATTGGAAACAACACAGATAAACCAGGAAGGCCTTATGTGAAGTGAAATAAAATGGGCATCACAAAGGACAAGCGCACGATCTCATGTGTGTAATCTACAAAGAATACATAGAAGCAGAGAGCAGAACAGTGGTCACCAAGGGCTGGGAGCGGGGGAAATGGGGAGATGTTGGTCAAGGGTACAAAGTTACAGTTATGGGGATGGATAACTCTAGACATGTAATGTGCAGCCTGATGACTGTGGTTAATAACAATGGGCTGAACTCGGAAAAATGCTGAGAGAGGAGTTCCTCAGTTGCACCAGCCACATTTCAAGCCCTCACCCGGTGAGTGGCGACCGCATGGGAGAGCACAGACAGGCCATTTCCACAATCCCAGAACATTCCATTTCCTGTGCTGCCACCGAATCTCTACCGTCCTACTAAGCAATGTGAACACAGGCAAGTAAAACTTAATTGCACTTCCATAATCAATAGAGCTAACATATTGCTCCCCTAGACTACGCAAATCTTTCAAATTTGTTCTTTTGTAAGTAATAAGACAAGAGGAGCTAGATGCTTTCTGGGTTCTATTCCTGCTTTTTTAATTTTTATTTATGTCTATTTAGAAATAGTACTAATTCTGTGAGTACCTTGTGCACACTTGGCGCAGACGGTGTGATTTAGAGCAGTTTAACGCAGGGGATGGATGGCTTCAGCCCTGGGAGAGGGAGGCTCATCCATCTACCACGTGTCCCGGCATCGTTACGGAACATTAATGAGGTTGGGCTCAATTTAAAACCCGTCCGGGGCATTATGGATGGGTAACATTCAGTTGCACAGGAACTGGGAATTTCTGAGATAGAATCCTCGCTCTTTGGCTAATGAGTGTTGTGATACGGGGACTATCATTTAACTTCTGCGTTTCAGTTTCCTGTCCTTAAAACGGGGCCATTACTGACCTACCTAACCCAAGTGTCCGGAGGATTAATGAGTTAATGTTTGCGCGGAACTCAGAGCTCCTGGCAGCGAGGCGCTCTGGGGCGTCATTATTTCTAGTCATTCCCACGCAGCAGCTGGGTACCATTAGGACCGTTATGTGTTTACTCCGAAAACGCGTTTTCTTTCTCAGCATTTGAACATTACCGATGTTCCCCAAACCTTAAATCTCACAGTGAAACTAGCCCCAAAGCAAGACGCGCTGACATAGTGGGGGTATTTAGGTAGTTTTCCATTCCTTTAATAGGAATGCGACGCCAGCGTCCCAGCAGGATGGAGCGGTAATTGCACTGTAAATTCTCCCTGCTGGAGGCTGCTGGTCAATCTTCGCAGGCGCGGGAGGAAGTTACAGCCCAGCACAATTACACCGTCGATACTTACATGCAATGATATTCCCATATCTGTTCTTCATTCTGTTCTCATCCTTCTTAGCAGAGTCCCATGGCGCTGACTGCCCTTCAAAGAAGCTCTGGAAGAGAGAGAAAAGTGACACCAGGAATTACAATGTGGCGCCATAAACATTGCGTTTCAATGACAGAGGAGGGTCTGAAAAAAGGTGCGAGGGTTCAGAAGGAAAAAGAATGTTCATGCAAATGAGATAACTGACGAAAGCATTTTATATCTTAAACATTTCATTTAGCTCCTTGTTTTCTTTTAGTTTAAATGTTACAAATGGGAGTGAAAGGATGAGCCCACAATTGATGGGTACCATCCATTAAAAATGGCTGTGTGTTCATCTCTATTCCACTTTACTATTTGATACAGGAAAGGGGGACATTTTTCTCAGTTTCTGAATTCTATTACCATTTTCCCAATATTCTCCTAAGAGATACAGAAATATTGTTTTTCTTCCCAATGTCTAACTGAAAGAAGGCTATTTTTGGTTAAGACTGTGAAAGTAGGCAAGCTGAGACATGACGTCAAGGCTAAAATTCTTGAATAAATTCTGCTAGAGCTTAGATGTCCATTTATTTAAGGATTTGGTATTATTATATCCAGGGTCTTTGATGTTCATGTTATTAATCATATGTATGTCTATTTTTTTCTTTTTTTTCTCTTCAAGTTACAATAAAAATGTCCTCTGCTGTCAGTTGACAAGGGAAAGAAACATCTGGGATTTTTATTTCCACTCCAGCCCACACTCATTTTACCTTCATGTGGTCAACTCTATAAGGAGGTAATGAGAAGAAAGATGGTAGCAAGTAGCATTTAGTAAAACTGATTTCCTGTCTTTGCCTCGAGCTATTCTTATACTTCTTGGCACCAACTGGGAAAGGCGAGAAGGAAGAAGACAGGAAGACAGAGCAGATAAATGAGCACCATTCTGAAATGTGTCAGGCCTCGGAACCCACATCCTCTAACATGCCCCAGATGGCTTCCCAAACATTCTCCTTAGAACTGAAGCTCTTTAAAAATATATATTTGTGTTGATTTCAGAGAGGGAGAGGGATAGAGAGAAAGAAACATCAATGATGAGAGAAAATCATTGACTGGCAACCTCCTGCACACCCTGTACTGGGGATGGGACTGCAACTAGAGCCTGTGTCCTGACCAGAAATTGAACTGTGACCACCTGGTTTATAGGCCAGCACTCAACCACAGAGCCACTGAGGCTGGGATGAAGTTCTTTTTTACTCCATAATCTCCACCCCACCTATGGTGTTTGACCACCATGGCTATTTTCACCAATTACCAATAATTAGTGATTTGTCTGTGGTTATTATTCCTTTTCATGAGTCCAGTTATATCTTATTAGTTAAACTGCTCTCTAATACTGCTGTGTTAGGGAGGACTCACCTGCTCACAGACCCCACAGTGAGCCCTGCCCACCTGTATGCCACCCAGACCTGACCACTCGGTGGATGGTGCTCAGTACATTTGGCTATGGACTCTCTGAGGACAGGGACTGTATAGTCATCATTATGTTTGCACAGAGCCTCTGCCTCACAGAAAGATTCCAGCCATTAGTTACTAAATGAATAACTGTGAAAAACTTGGTGTTTAAAAAAATTCCTTATTGTTTAAAGTATTACATATGAATTCTTTTCCCCCAATTGACCTCTTCCCTCTATTTCCACCCCCCACATGCCTTCACCCCCATACTGTCTGCATCCATGGATGTTATGCTTATATGCATACATACAAGTCCTTTGGTGGATCTCTCATACTTTCCCTCATCCCTGTGTCTTCCCCCTGAAGTTGGATGGTCTGTTTGATGCTTCTGTGCCTCTAGATCTATTTTAGTTCATCAGTTTATGTTGTTCATTATATTCCACAAATGAGTGAGATCATACGATATTTATCTTTCTCTGACTGGCTTATTTCGCTTAGCATAATGCTCTCCAGTTCCATCCATGCTGAACAACTCGGTGCTTTGGTGATAGTTTCTGTGGCTTTGATCTCAAAATAAGGCCTCACTTCTGTGGCATGAGTGTGCGTGTGGGGTTCGAATGCTTGGAAAACCTGAATATGCACAGTTTGCAAATTTCATTCAGCTGCAGTTGGGGCCCCGTTTGTGACCTGCTGTCATCTTGGAGCTGAGCCCTGTTCAGAGGTTGGCTGGAAAAGAGCACTGTCCCTGAGACCAGTACCTCCCCACAACAGCAGGACACACCCCTTTTTCGTGCAAGAGTGAAAAGCTAACACTACAAATGTGAGAGTGAGAGTTTTAAACTGTCCATCTTAATTTAGAGTATCTTAGTAATGATCATCATAAATTACCTTATTAGTGTAATAGGTTTTACACTATATTTATCATTTAGAAAAAAAGCACGGGGGCATACCAGGATTCCATGTACTATATTCCTACAGCTATATTAGTATATCCACACTCTCCATTTGCTAACTGAAGGGTAAAATACTGCATAATACAGGACAAATACAAGTAAAACATTTCCAGGTTACTAATAAGTAAATAGAAATACTAGCATTAAAGCATGAGTTAATTTCATCTAGAACAAGACCATGATGTCATCAGGGGATTTATTAAAAAATGTAACTTTTATTCTGCTATAAAATATGCATTTAAAAATTGCTTCAGGGATTTTAAATTTATGCTCTCTTTCTGAATAGTGTCTTTGTTATTCTATGAATGACTATTTCACAGTTGAGTAATAACTATTATTTAACTTCCCTTATAACAATTTAATTCTACTTTGAGCTTGTCGTGATGTAAGTACCAATTTTGTCTCCCTCAGTCTTTCCCATCCATCTAAAAGTTTTCAAATTTTGTCTTTTTGTAGAAAGATGAGAAAGGTCAGTGACTTTAAGGGAAATCACAACATCTTCCTACAGATCCCTGGCCGCTAGTTAACAGTATCTCGGGGTGTGTGTGTGTGTGTGTGTGTGTGTGTGTGTGTGTGTGTTGGGGGGGGGGCAGTGATGAATTAGGAAAAAAGGCACGTGTTAAACTAGTGAGAAAATGCTCTTAGGTCACCTGAGGCAAAGCCACAAAGTCACACGCAGATGCTCTCCTGTGATAGACTGTGCTCACATCACAGCTGTGTTCCTTTAGCATCTGTGGTAATCACGGGGTTTCTAAGAGCCCTGGTTTTTAAAAACAGTTATTTTAATTTGATTGTTTTCATTTAAGTGATAATCAGGAAACAGACACACGTCAACAATGAAATGATTCAATCTCCTTACTTTTGGGCTCTACCTGTAGCTCCTGGCATGTTTTCATAGGGGCGGGCCCACATGCCATCTATCTCCAGCACTAGTTATGGTGATCACCAGGAAGTGCTTGCAGAATGAATCAGTCCATCTACTCAATTATTCCTCACGAGCAGCCAGGCACAGAGGGACTGCCTCCTTGCTTTACATGAGGGACATGACAGGCGGACAGACCACAACCAGCTCATAACAGGCCAACTTGGGTCAGACTCAACAGTCTGATTCTTAATCCACTGCTCTTCCTGCACCGCCCCAACCCTGATAAGGAGTTTGAAGGGGAAAGCAGCGTTAAACCTTCTTAGAAACACATAACTATCACTTTCCACCTCATCTCCTTGAAGCTTTGTGACAAGAAATATAAAAGATGTCCAGTGAACTTGGTTGAACTGTTGATCCCTTTTAATCAAAATAGGAAATTTCTTCTCCCATAAGATAATGTGATCACTGCAGGGAAGCCGCAGTAGGAGGGCAAGCAGAAGGGGCAGCTCTTGCCAGGCGCAGCCCCAGCTTCCTGCCCAGGAATTATGTGAATTACTTTAAGTGGAAAATACATTTTTTTTCTTAAACAAAAGCAAAACGAGCCATCAGAAAAAGCTGCCAAGAAAAGATCAGACAACTAGTGCCATCCATCGTCTCCCTACAGATATCATGACCTGGTCGTTCATTGTCTGGAACAGCTCTGCTTCCAATTGTATTGGCCAGTCTCCCCATAAAGATATTTGCATTGTCAAGCCCATGTTTCTTTGTCCTTGGCTTGCAAAATAAGTAATGTGCCTATGGGGAGCCCAGGGAGAGGAAAAATGAACTTCTGAATCGGGTAACTTGGCTTTTGTTTCCTTTTGATATGGAGATTACAATATTTTTTTTCAAAGGTGGACCCAGCTTTAAATGCTATGAATTTTTGTTTGCATATTTTTAAAGCATCTGAGAAAATATTTACCTTAGACTTTAGATTCCCCCTTATGCCCGAACTACTACAAAGTTAACTTTACATACCTACTTAGAAAAAAAACTTTACTGGTAGCTCTAGAACCACTAGGCATGCAGAAGCTGTGATGTGACATGCGGGTCTTTAGCAGTGTGAACCCCTGGTGGCGTTCCTGGCTTGGGAGTTCTGAGCAAGAACAATCATCAGGACAGGAAGGCGGCTCATCAGTGCTGTGGGACTCTGCTTCCTGTCTGGGCCACGGTGAGGCCTGCACCGGTGTGTGCGACCCCAGAGGTGACCAAGGCACTTCCTCCACCCCTGCCCTCCCGAGATCCTGAAGAGATGGAACCTTTTCTGGCTACCATAGTGACCCACCTCCTGATAATTTTTTTTTCTTTTCTTTTTTTTGGTAGACCATGAGATAAACCTACATGCAATATATGCCTGAGGGAAATTAGGTAATTTTGTTAGGCAATCAGCCTACTAGGTCCTATTTCACATCCTTGTTAGCTTTTGAATATCTTTTAACAAATTAGGCAAACCAACCCACATTTATGTGATTTTTATCCTGTGCATTTTTTCTTTGGGAAAGAACAAAAGCTTCTTTAGCTATTCTTTTCATCTTCAAGAAAACCAAAAGTTATCTCTGTTCCTTGAAAACTATGGACACTGACTTACTGAATGCTTTGAAAAGAATTCTACTCTGAACCAGTTTTCTTGGGAAATAAATTTACTGCCATATCATTTACGTGGTATCTAGAGAAGCGTTGGTCCTATCACATATTGTGGAAGGAAAGCCAACCCGGTTTTGAATCCTCCTCCTGAGAAAGCGAGAACTCTGCTCCCAAAAGACATCAGAGGGCGGGTTC